AGGAGTTAATAAACTAAGGTGTCTGGTGCAAATTTGGCATAGTGCTGTTCCAAATATGGAGAACAGTCAATCACAGAGATTTACTACTAGGCCAAAAATGAAGAAAAAGGTGAAGAAGAGACCATGAGAAAAGGAGAGTGGATACAAGGGACAGGAATCCAGGAAATGCAGAGCCTAAGATCATAATTAGTGAGAAACTGAGCGCGAGGTGGAAATACTTGAGAATCTATTGAAGGGAAGCAGCATGAAAAGAAAAGTGATTTTACCTGCATACTTACAGAACAAACAGCCAAAGAGGCCAAATAGATTGGAAAGTTGGGAAGTGAAGAGATCAAGCAGCAGGCTTAAACAAACAAAAGAGAATACTTTTCCTTCAAAGCACATAATTCAATTCAGAAACTTGTTGCCACAGGTTATTGTGAAAGCTGACATGATAAATGTTTTGAAATGGGACTGGACAAGCAGGTGGAAGATAAATACATTATAGTCCAAAGGAAAGGTGCAGTGGGACCTTTGGTCTTACACATTGTAGGAGATCTTCTCTTTGAAAGTACATTTCAAAATATTAACGAGGATGTAACTCGGTCTTTCAGTTGTCTTTCTTTGCAAAAAATAGCTTGCCTAAGAAAAAAATACAAAATAATTGAGAGGCTGAAGTCAAGGGAATATGTTATGCCGCTTTTTATTCTCCAGAGATACTGAGTTATTGGCTCAATCGCTTTCTAGTGTATGTATAATTGTGGCCGTAAGAACTGCCTTGACCATCCACAGCTGCTGATTCATGTTAATTTCCATCTTGCTTTGATAGATAATTGATACACGACACATTATAGCTCTGAATATTTCAGTTAATTGAATGCATGTCTTCAGATTGGCAAATCAGGATATTTCACCAAGACCCTTTATTTCAAATAGGTCTGCAAATTATCACATGCTGCTGTTTCCACTAAGAAGATTTCCCAGTGATGGGGACTTCTGCCACCCACTGAATGTGATGTTGAACTAAGTCTTCAGCAGTGACATCCAGAGATTATGAACTACTGCTACACACATAACAGCTGTGTCTTCAGTTTGATTATGATGGACCACCTCCTTTCTCAACTCCAGCTAAATCAATGCAGTTATTACCTACGCTTTGTAAGTAGAATCTATGTTTTTGGGTTGAGCATCATGAGTTTGACAGTTAGCTCTGTTTACTGATGATTAATGACTAGTATTTGGACAAAGGTAAACAAAAATTCTTAATAAATTGGAAGAGAGTGAAAATTGCCTGGGGCCCATTACCAAAGAAAGAGTGTAATATATCTAGCCAGAATGTGCACTTCTAAAGCACTAAGCTTGCCAATTAGAATACAGAAATGACAACAACTACAGACATTAAAGCTTATGCCTTTGTTACTGCATGAGACAAATGTTTGAGCAAACTACATGTCTTACCTTTGTACTGCTGCCTATAAACTCTGACTTTGTGCCCACCTTCCTGCTTCATGGTGTTTTCTTGACATTTATTAATAATAATAAAAGCTAAGAAAAATGAAAGTAGCAGCCGTATTGATTCAGCAAAGCAGCATGAGCATATTTAATAGCCCATGCCTTTTACCTGATTCAAGTATATTCAATTTCTCTGAAGTCTGATTTCTTTAATTATACTACAAATCTAAAATGTCTTTTTATGTTACCAGATACTAATTATATTAGACAGATCGCCATTCATCTGCTTATAGCAATATTTATTGCCATTGCCATCACTTAACATCAAAACAGTATTACCTCATCATCATTTACAGTGGAAAAAGAACTACTTTTCTGTATAATTTTGTGTCTAGGTTGGTCCAGTTAAAGGCACGAGACACTCTGTACTTGGTTTATATAATTAATATGTATAAATACTTTGCTTACTCTTAATCTCTAATTATGATAAACTATACCTTCCATTTGTAGGCAAGCTTCTCTCTGTGCTAAAGCTGCCTAAAGCTCCTCTGAGTTAGGAAGATAACTTCAGAAATTGAGAAAATTAGTAGATTGAGTCCCACTGAGAGGGGGATTTCATAGTGGAAAAAAGGAATAGAAGCCAGATGAAACTTTTACAACCTTAATAAACAGAAAGACAGAAAATCTGTTAAAGTAGAAGTGAAAAAAGGAAAAATTGTAGAAGAAATCACAGTATGGATGAGAAAAGAAAAGCTGTGAATCAGGTTACACTCCCCTGCCTCTGCAGAGGATACCTTCCATTGATGTCCTCTGCCTTCTCACACAAGCTCTCCTGGAAAAACTGAATCAGCCATAGTATCTCCCTAAACGTGGGCATGTCATTATCATTCTTTCTCTCCATCACTGCAACTCCTCTGGGCTCGAGAGTTTCCTAGAAAAACTGTTAGTTGTTTAACAACTGTGCAGCTGGACTTCCAGAGGCTCCATTAAGGCAGTGGCTACCAGCACTCACTTATGCCTTACTCCTTACAGATCTGGTAGGTCACTTTTCCTAGACCTTACTTTCTTGACCTGCAATTTAAAAGAATCTCTTGTGAAGAGATTCTCTCCTCATGGAGATTCCTCCCCTCTCCTCTCCTACATCTTTATGAACGTACCTCCCCTTATGTTAAATCTGGCATGTACTTGTATTAGAAACCTAACATTCAAGGTAAGAAGGCATACTTATATGATAAATCAGCTCTAACAAAGGAGTAGGACAAAAAAAATTACATCAGCACATTAGGCACAGGGGAAGGGATGAGAAATCAAAGGATGCTCCCAGATACATTTAGAAAGATATAGGAAAAAAAATAATAAAATCCTCTATTAAATGGAAGAATGCATCTCAGAAAATGATAAAAAGTAGGTTTGCTAGCCCCCAGAGAGAAAGAGAGAGAGAGAATATTGTATAATTTTGGGAAGATTATGTTTCATTAGAGACATTCGTGAATGTAATGAGCTAAAGAAGGGGTAAGACTGCTTAAATTGATCTATACAACTGATTGTGCTACACTTGATAATTGTGTCAGTCTCTTCTGTACTTAAAATAAACTTAACAACTCTGAAATGCAGTCAGTTGTTAAGCACTAAACATCATCACACACTCTGTCACACTACTCTCATTGTTTCAGAAACCTTAGAAGCACCTGACATTTACCTTTTCTAGTTCTAACACTGGAATTGCAGAAATGCAATTAGGAAAACTCTGGTACTCATAACAGAAAAGGTCAGCAATGTGCAAGCTAAACCTGATAACATGCCTAATGTGCTGCCAAACATAACAGAATGCCTTCCTGATAATTAATGATTTTACAGACTGCCATGAAGTTGTTGCAAGATAATCAGATCAACGGGGGGCATGCCACCATGCGAAAGACACACAGGAGATCGTGAAATATTCTTTGATAGAGGTATATTGCCAAGTCACCACCAATAGAAAAATCTAACATTATAAAAGGCCATGTTTTCAGAAATAATCACATAAATAAATTGGGCAGAAAACACAAATGACAGAAGTTTCAACATTTGGTAAGCACAGAAGCCATTACCTCATCAAAGGCAGTGCACTTTGTGCCTGCAGCCAACAACCAATACACCATCACCTCCAGGATGTAAAAGACAAGTTTTCTTTTTCTTTTCTTGTAGTAATCAATGTAAGTAGAGGTTAGAGGGTTTAGTTTTTCTGTTTGTCTTTAATACAGAAATACTCACGCAGCAGTACAGGCTCTGTGTTCCTCACGCAAAGACCTTCTCCTTACTTGTGCCACTAATCCTACATAAACTAATAGTGAACTTTAAGAAAAATGAAAAGTAATCTAAGGGGTTCTTTTGATAAATGACATTTCATCAACAGTGCCAAAAAATAGCTCATTTCTGAAAGCTGAAAGTAGCACTTATTAGAAGTTTTCTGCCAAATACCTAAAGGCAGGTTAAACCTTTAGTGAAAAATGTTTTTGAGACCTTACAAACACCAAAGAAACGTATATTTGTTATATCTGAATTCATCATGAACAAATAAAATCTATATAGTTCGCATGTCTATTTACAGACTATAATTTGTATTTGATTGTTTCATTTTATTTTGTCATCGTTATAAGAAGTTGCATTTTTTTAAAAACTAGCGGAAAAAAAAGTACCATCATGAACTACAGTGGAGCTTTCGCCTCTATATTCACTTAGGTTAAAATTCAAATTACAGAACTCACAATCTTCCAGGAATTATCACATACATATCTGTGATAAGAGAACATTATGTTTTGAGACCACTAGATCCATACTGCAAAGCTGTATTAAAGGCAAAGGCTAACTTTGTATTATAGTTTCTCCTATACCTGAGTTATATCAATCTATTTCATGACCAATGTAAAAGCCAGCTATTCTTTTCATGTGACACATATTGTTGCCTAATTAATTAAGGAAAACAAATCAACTATAACTTAGTGTGAACCTCCGTATTTTTTGATTTCATTAGAAGTATCATGAATTTAGGACATGACATATTTTTGAGGATTGACTGTAACGATAGGCCAGACGACGATCAGTTAACTTGTATAAGCTGAATTTTCTCAGTAGCAGGCTATAACTCGTGTGAAGAAAAGTATCTGATGTCCTGTGTTTGGTGGTCTATAAAAAACTAAACAAAAAACCTCAAGCACCTGTCTGTCTGGTATTTCCGTATTTACCTTCATACATCCTTTTGTAACCAGCTTTGTCTGAACAGCGTGTGCCTGAGGCAAGTATTTATAAGACAGTACCAACAATGCAAAACATTTTTACAGGTGCTTACTTTGCAAAAAGTTCACAACATAAGTGAATATATTTTGTTTAAACTGTATGAAGAGACGCATGCCAATAAAAGGAAGTAAACACATTCCCCACAACTAGATGATAGCATCAATGAAAGTGCAATTATACTTCCAGCTTGTTCTTGCTATTCTTTCGGTAATGATCATAAGCAACTGATTGTATTTTCTTGAAATGCTACATATGCATAACATGCACCAAAAAACTAACGAGAACACACTCACCATGTACTATCAGGACATATTCTGTGCTGTTTCGGCCAATAGGATTTTTTGCTTCACATCGGTATGTGCCATTGTCTGTTTTGTTTAGGAAACTGATGCTTAGGACCCTGCCGTTGACAACCATTCTCTCTGGATCTGGTAGTTCTCCACCGTCCTTTGTCCACAGTACTGGTTCTGGCCTGTTGTATCCAAAGCAATGCATTTAATCAGATACATGAAGCATGTATATGCAACATACACATCAGAAGCAGTAGCATCAGAAACTTATGAATAGTAACCCACCATCAAAGAATATTCAGTGATCATTTGAGTTACTGGATATAATGAACTGTCACTATTACAACCTCACCATCCTGGATGGGAAGTACTAACAAAAGTGAAAGAACAAGCAGGGAAAAGAAGAGAAACAAAAAAGGAAACAGAACGGTACTGGAACAGGCCAAGATCTTTCCTAAATTAAAAATTAGTTCTCATGAGGTTTCAGGGCCCACAGGTCGGCAAGATGCTTGGCAAGCTTTCCGTTTGTGTGATGAGCAATATGGTCCTGTGTGACTGACAGGCATCAGAAATCATGCAAGCAGGCTGAGGTAGATGTAAGTGGTTTGTAAATGGATTCTGAAATTATTTAGGCCATTCACATTCACAAGTGCACTTGCATGCGCTGAGTGTTTTTCCTGAACCAGGCGTATCAGTCTCTAAGTAGCACATCTTACACACAATCTAAATTTGTTCCTGTTGCTGCATTGTGTCACAGCCCATCCCTTTTTCCACCCTTTCTGCATCCTTCCCTCAAATAATTGCTTGTTATGCATGTTCTCACAAGCAATAGAAGATTTGACTTAAAATGCTCGATTTCCTTCCTTTCTGAAACTTCCTCTTGTGCCTCATGAACTCACATCAAACAGGCCAAAGGCAAAGCACTGACAGCAATAACCCCCTAGGCAAGTTAAGGGCACCGCGGAGAAGGGAACTGACCGTCTTGCAGATTCACATATACCGTCCCACTGGCAAGTGATACCTAACTCTTTCCTAAAGACTCAAGAAGCTCCACAGTTCATGAGATTTGCCTAACAGACAGCAGGATGTATTTATTACCGGTATGCAGTCTTTATTTACATGTAACATGACCTACTTTCAAATTTACATGAGGGAAATTGGCAAAAAGGCAGGTCCGTGACTGGGAATGAAAAGTTGGCTTACTGAATCCTGACTATCTCACAAACAGACACAGCATCTCAGGTCCTTACATACTAGTCACTAAAGCAAGATATATACAGCCTGGGGTGTCACTGCTACATTACTTGTATTTGGTAGCTTTGTACACTATAACCCAAATATCAATCCCTTTCTTTTGGGTACACTACTTAAGTAATTTCAGTCAGAAGCAGTTCTAGATTTGCACATTTATTTGGTAGGAGAATGTTACATTACATTTTCCTATCGAAGTATGCAGTTGTAAGACTAGGTAATAAAACAAAATGTAAAACGCTGTTATAAAATCAGATGCCAAATTAGTCGCTAGTCTTACTCAAGAAATACTTAATTTCGTTAATTTAAGCAGGTGTTTAAAGCCTATTAAATATAATAAGTGTTAAGAATAAGAATTAAACCTAAATACCTAAGGAGAGACATTTTGCCAAAATGTGGGCTCATGCACAGAAAAATAGTCCTAATGACTGCAACAACACGATTTTCTTTTAAGTTAGGCAAGACATGTAAACAAAGTTATTTTTTCCGAAATGCTGTATAATGCTGCTATATAATTTATATTACTTTTTAAAGTAAAAATACTATACCATGTTTCTCTTGAAAGATAACAGAGATTTATACACATTTTAGTAATATTTGGATGACACCTTGTTAAATCGTTGTTGAACTTGTTACCAAGACTTGCTGTTCTCTGAAGTTATGATTATTTTAGATCATATACTCAGGGAGTAAAACAAGATTCACATAATTTTAAACCAAGGATTAAGACCTGTCGGTGTAATGGGCCTTATTTATACCTTACCGTAAATATGTCTTAATACTCTTTCTAAGTGCACTTTCAGGAACTGGTATCTAAATACACATGACACACAATATACACACTTCCTTTCTGCTTAATGCGAGCAGGGAATCTAGATGTCCATGCTGGTGCAGAAACATTGCCCTACAGAGTTCACAACGTTAAGGTGTGATTTGCTTTGATATGTTAAGGTGGATTTGTTCAATTTTCTAGCAAACTTCTCATTGTTCCCCATTTACCAGCTTACTGTGAATCTGTAATCCCAGGAGTGGAAACTCTGAAACACTTCTGTTACAATGTGCACCATTACCTTCGTAAATGGCATGTTAAAGCAACTTCTGTGCAGTGGTAATTTATGGAACTTACGTTTTAAATTGAAATTAGATGGCATACCCTAGGGAAAAACCATAGGATAACAAATAAGTATGAAATGGAGCCTTAGATATAAATTATTCAGGGAGCTTTGTTACATCGTAATATACCAACTCTAGTCTTATACAGAGTGCTTAGCTATGGTTGCAAAATGATGGTGGCAGAAAAATCATGGCTTAGAGAGAGGCAGATCTACATACTCTGGGTGTCAGGGAAGCTGCTAATTAACAACTAGTATTAAGCCATCTTGTGCTGGCTTAGTGGCAGCAGCAGAGCAACTCCTGGGCAGCCGGCCCATGGTCAACACATCATGGTGGCCAGGCACAGCTCTCACTCCGTCTCACCGCTCTCAGGGAGGATGGTGCCTAAACCAGCAATTCTGTCACAGCCATAAAATTAAATTTTGCCGGCACTGCTGGGAAACTTTGAGACACTCTGGTCTAAACAATTCATTAGTTAGGCAGAAGTGAGCTAAGAACATGAGGCATGCTCATGCACCCAGGCCAGCATGCTACTGTGGTCAGTGACAAGGGGAGCGGCTGTTTAAGGAAAGCACGTGAATGTGGCCATTTTCTGTGGTCCATTCCCCCTGTATTCTGCCAGCATCCACAATCATTCTATTGGGGATGTTGGAGGGCACATCTCTTGTTCTCTTTGGTATCTACTTAGTATTTAGACCTGTTGTCTATGAATATCTCTAATATCTTTTTGAATCTGCTTGTCTGTCAACCCAGCCTCCTGTGGCAATGAATTCTGGAAGTTCCCTGCCTGCTGTGCAAAAACGTATTTACTTTTATCTGTCTTACACTGATCTCCTAGCAGTGGCAATGAATATTGCAGGATATGGTAAGTAATGCTTCTGTGTATTATAACCTTGTTATAAGTCATGATAGCCTTGTGCTTAAGTAGGCCTCTCTCTCCCCCTCTTTCTCTGTTTGTTTGAATTTGATACCTTCCGAGATTATTGGCAGGGAAAAAAAAATATTCACAGGGAAAAACGGGTAAAGGAACCGTAAATATAAAGCGTAGTGGCTATTCCTTGATAATTGTGGCTATTCCTAGTACATTCATTGTCCAAAGCACAAATGCAGCTGAAACACTGGTGGGGAAGCTTTCCTTCTGTGACACAAGGCACGGAGAAGTGTGAATTCCCCATAGTTTATCCTATTGAAACATGTTCATGGATGCAAATCCAGACAGAGGTTCTTCCTCTTATGCAACATTTTGAAAGGGTTCTGGCTCAACTGGGGGATATTTAGGTTTGACCTTCTAAAACACCCAGCAAATATGTACACTCCTAATATTGCACATTTTTCTCCATTGCATACATCTCCAATATTGCAGGATTTCAGCTTTTCTTCACATAATAAAGGGTTGCCATACCGCTATCTCTTACTGTGTAGACTGGAACAAACAGGGTATCCCTGTGCCTTGCATTTGTGCTTACTTCAAGTTGAATCACTCTTAGCAGTTTAATCCCCATTTTTCTCAGACAGTCCTGAAAACCTCTTTCTTGGACCACAATAGCTGTAAAGTCAGAATGAGCACTGTGGCCACTAATGCAATTGCACGTTACTATCTTCACACATTTCATGGCACAAACAAGCTCACTGACCTGCTCTGTCCTAACAGGAGCATGCAGCCCGCTAGTACCTATGCAGTCACCGAAAGAACAAGTCTGTCCTCCCTTTTTTTTTCCCATCTTGGGTGAGAAGTGCTTTTCTATATCCCTGGTTTGATCCCTCCCGTGGATGCGGTTAAGTGGAAATAAGCTGTGTTACCACTGAGACCCTTCACTGGGTTGAGGGAGGTAGCAGAGCTGAAGCACCAAGATGCTGTTTTCTTCCCCAAAACACAGCTCTGCTTACCTATTCTAATTCGCTCCCCATGTGACACCTTTTAAAACAAAATCAAACAACTTAAGCATGCTGTACTGAAGAAATTCTTTCAAAGACACAGCTCAACAGTGGCAGCCCATGCTATTTCTTTGGCTAGTACGTACTGCTTTAACTGATTTGGCTTTGCATGCAGCTGCCCAGAGTGGCACTACCGGGACTGCATTAAACTGAAAGAAGCCAGAGATACCAATCACAAGCATAATAAAAATCCTTAATTATGACCTATGACTTCTCTGCCAGCCCCCCAAAAGAAATTTGAACTCTATACTCTCTCTGAAGAACTCCTAAATGGGCTTAGATTTTGGTATAATTTATGTTTAATACTAGTAGAAAGGCCCAGAAGCTTTCAGTAACTGACTTGCAAAAGGGAACTGTTTTTTGGTATAAACAAATGATTTTGTTAACTGTCTTCATGTTAGCCTCAGAACTTGACATAAAAAGGAACAGAATTTGGTATTCTTTCCCAGACAAACTGAAATGAGACTGCAATGGGGATGTAAAAAAAATGGTATCGTGTTCCAGGATGATTCATGTTTTATACTGTGGAGCAGGAGTTTTCTTGCAAGTAACTTAACAAAGTATTTGTAAATAAAGTGAAATTATTTTCTAATCCTGAGGGAAAGAAACCTTTTCTTCCAAAATAAGTCAGCAAGAAAGCTAAGGGCGAACTGGAATGTGTTGGGAAAAAATATGTTTTAAAAACCACAGTCAGATTTAATTAGAAAAGAACACTTAGGCACAGACTTACCTTTTCAACAAGTGTTTATGTAACATGAAAGTCAAGAGTTACTATTTAACTCCACATTAATATTTTTTATGACCTGGGCTTTTAAAAGTTACACAGTAGTATTTTAAAACAAGTTCGCTAATTTTCCATCCCTTTCTCCATCCTTAACCAAAG